CCACGTACTCTTTGTTTTTCTGCACCTACAATTGGCGCCGTCTGTGGGAAACGAACGAGTTCCATTTGAAAACCACCATGGTGGAAGTAGATCCAGTCACGCCGCTCGCTAAGAAGAACCAGGCTGGTGGGGAAGGAGACAAATCCCCTCCAGGTGCTCCGAAAAAGCATGTTGGTGGCCATAGTAGGAGGACGATGAGCAAAGATTGTCCCCTGACCATCCAAGATGATCCAAAGAACAAAGAAGGTAGGACCGCTACAGAATCCACGAGAAGGAGCAAATCCCACCATAGAGGAGAATCAGTTGCGCATTCGAAAAGTGTGCATAACCACAGTGACATCCTCGATAGGAAGAGGCATGAAATCGAGGAGGCTACTCGATTAATCAAGAAACGAGAATATGAGATCCATGAGATGGAAAGGATCAGAGATCACCCTGAGGATTCTGGATTGTCACGAAGACATTCCAGAAGGGAAAAAGGGACTATGGTAACATACAAGGCCACTCCTTCGCATCGAAGAAGCAGGAGCAGAAGTCCGTCTCCAAGAAAGAAGAGGCCTTCTTCACGAAGAAGAATGAGCAGAAGTCCGAAGGAGCGAGGGCTTTCTCCACGAAAAAGGAGAAGCAGGAGCCGAAGTTCCTCTATTGAAGAAGATACCCGGAAACACCATAGGGATAGGTACGAGAGACCTGAGTCCGATTGGGATAGGATTCGGACACATAGAAACAAGGAACAAGATGCCGGGACAATGACTGCACGAGAAGCGGCAAGGAAAGCCCTGAGTAACATAGCAACTTCCCCCTTTACCAGAAGGTTACAAGATGCACGACTGTCGAGCAGAGTGAAGCACGGGGCATTCGTACTTTACGAGACAAATGCGGACCCTGTTGCTCACATACAGCATTACCAGCAGGCTATGTTTATGCACGAAGGGGATGATGCTATTATGTGCAAGATGTTCCCGTCAAGTTTAGGCAAGGTGGCTCTGTCTTGGTTCCATAAGTTGGAATCACGATCCATACGAGGATGGACACAGTTGGCCGAGGAGTTCACTGCGCAGTTCTTAACAAGTAGAAAGGCTCCCAAGACGTTTGAAAATCTCTCCACGATGAAGCAGGGAGATAATGAGCCAATCAGAGACTATGCTAAAAGGTATTGGGAGACCTTTAATGAGATTGATAGTTGCATCGAGGAGTATGCAATTGCTATATTTAAAACAGGCCTGCCTGTTCGGGAAGAACTTCGCCAGTCATTAAACAAACACCCTGTGTCAACATTGGCGCACTTGATGGAACGAATCGAGCAGCATGCTAGAATGGAGGACGACATCCTCCGGGAAGACGGCAAAGTGATTGCCGAACAGCCAAAGACACCAGTGAATAAGGTGGACAAACCAAAGCCCAGGACTTATAGGGACAGAAAGGAGTATGGGCAGGCTAAGAAAGAGTCGTACAAAGAAAAACCAGCGCCAGACCCCAAGTCATTCTTTTCGATAACGACAGTCTGGAAAGAGCCTATTTACAGGATTCTTTATCGAATAAAGAATCAGCCCTACTTCAAGTGGCCCCCAAGTCTAGGTGGAGACAAGGATGCGAAACGTGCTACGAATCAACACTGCAGTTACCATAAGGATTAGGGCCACATGACTGAGGATTGCGAAATGTTCAAAAGGCATCTTGACGATCTGGTCTCTCGAGGCAATCTGAAGGAGTATATTCAGGAGGACCCTAAAGAAAAAGGGAAAGCCATGGAGATAGATTACGAACAGAATCCTAAGGGAGTAATCCATATGATACATGGATTGGCCGCACCTTATACGAGGAATGAGGTAAGGCTGCTCCAGAGGCAAGCCAAGCACGATCAGCATGTTATGAGATTGGGAAGCAAGAGGGGACGAGAAACCAATGCAAGCAACGAAGGTATAGTCTTTACGGATGAGGACCCCGGAGATGTCCAGGTGACTCATAATGACGCTTTGGTCATTACCCTACGAATAGGGGAATACGATATTGAGAGGATCTTGGTGGACTCTGGGAGTTGCACAGAAGTCTTATACTACGATGCGTTTAAAAAATTGGGATTAGCTCAGTCAGATCTGGAGCAATCAATAACACCTCTGGTTGGATTTGGAGCAAGGGCGGTCTGGCCCCTTGGGAAAGTAACACTACCTGTTCAGGCTAGAATAGTAGTCTTGAGAACAGATTTCTTGGTGGTAGATGTCCCGTCATCCTATAACGCGATTATAGGGAGAACCTGGTTGCATAAGATGAGGGCAGTCTCCTCAACATATCATCAGATGGTGAAATTCCCTGGTTCCAATGGTATCGAAAAGATCAAAGGGAATCAAAAAGCAGCACAACAGTGCTTGGTTTCCATCATCAAGAAAGTCCCGAAGGCCCATCACGTTCATGCGGTAGAGGCACCAGATCAACCGACTATCAAGGATGTCGGTAGAAGTCCAATGGAGAAAGTGGTCGAAGGCCTAAAGAAAATACAGATCAGCGAAACTGATCCTGAAAGGTATTTTTTGATTGGGGAGTCACTACCAGTTGAGGAAGAAGGTGAACTGGTTGGATTATTGAAGGAGTACGTCAATGTGTTTGCTTGGGTACCAGAAGAGATGCCCGATGTAGGTGCAGACGTGATCTGTCACCACCTAAACGTAGATCCGCAGCATAAACCCGTGATTCAGAAGAAAAGGAGGGCAGTTGTGCAGCTTGTCGATGCTGTTATTGAAGAGGTAGAACGGCTATTGGAAGCCAAAGCAATACGTGAAGTTTACTATCCAGAGTGGTTGTCCAATACTGTTGTAGTAAAAAAGAAGAACGGAAAGTGGCGTGTCTATGTGGATTTCACGGATTTGAATAAAGCATGCCCGAAGGACAGCTTCCCCCTTCCGAGGATTGATCAGTTGGTTGATGCAACTGCTGGGTACGAACGGATGAGTTTCCTCGACGCATATCGAGGATATCATCAGATTGCCATGTTTAGGCCTGATCAAGAGAAAACTTCTTTCATCACACCACGAGGGTTGTACTGTTACAATGTGATGCCTTTTGGATTAAGGAATGCAAGAGCAATATATCAAAGGCTGGCAACCATTATGTTTAAGGAATTGCATGGCAAAACTATGGAGGTTTACATAGATGATATGGTTGTGAAAAGCAAAACCAGACAAGGTCACGTAGCAGATTTGAAAGAAGCCTTTGACATCTTGAGGAAATACAAGTTAAAACTCAACGCCTCGAAATGCGCATTTGGGGTTGGTTCTGGGAAGTTCTTGGGACATCTCGTAACCATAAGGGGGATTGAAGCAAACCCGGATCAGATATCGGCATTGCAGCGATTGCAGAGTCCCAAGACGACGAAAGAAGTACAGAGGTTGACTGGGATGGCTGCTGCCCTCAATAGATTCATCAGCCGGTCGAGTGACAAATGCAGGCCATTCTTTCAGCTTTTGAAGAGAAGAGAAGGGTATGAATGGGGAGCAGAATGCGAACAGGCATTCCAGGATTTGAAGCAATACCTGGCTAAAGCCCCACTTCTGTCAACTCCGGACCCAGGTGAGTTTTTGATTTTGTATTTAGCAGTTTCTGAGCATGTTGTTAGTGCTGTTTTGTTAAGAAGTAAGGGATCTGAGCAAATCCCAGTTTATTATGTGAGTAAGACACTGTTAGACGCAGAGACGAGATATCTGCCCCTTGAAAAATTGGTCCTTGCATTAAGGACAGCAACCAGGAAGTTACCTCATTACTTCCAAAGCCACAAGGTTGTGGTTTACACTGAATATCCATTATGGTCATTGCTACAAAAGGCAAACTTTTCAGGACGAATCTCAACGTGGTCTGTTGAGTTAAGCCAATACGATATTGACTTTCAGCCACGAACGGCAATAAAAGGCCAAGTGTTGGCTGATTTCGTAGCAGAGTTTTCACCGATGATAACACCTGGGCCTCCTGCGAGGGAGGAGCAATCTATTCAACAATCAACCAAGAAAAGAAAGACGTCTGCCGAACAAGACCCACTGGAATGGAAGTTATTTGTCTATGGTTCGGCTTGTAACACTGGTTCTAGAGCCGGTATTGTTCTCTTCCCTCCTGGAGGGGTAATGGTTGAGCTCTCTGTTCGGCTGGGATTCAGTGCATCAAACAATGTGGCAGAATATGAGGCTCTGCTGATCGGCCTCAAGAGTGCAAAAACCTTAAAGGCGGGAAGATTAAGGGTTAATTGTGATTTTCAGTTGGTGGTATGTCAATTGTCCGGGGAATACGAGGCCCGGAGTGAGAAGATGGCAGCTTATGTGGAAGCAGCTAGAGATTTGATCGATACCTTTGAAAAGGTATCTATTGAACAGATTAGCTCGGGGCAGAACGCCCATGCTGACTCTTTGGCTTGGTTGGCTGCTGCTGTTCCTACTGAGTTAAAAAGGAAAGCAGCAATCGATTATCTGGATGAACCAAGCATTGGGAAAAGTGTAGAATTGGTCCTGGACGTGAACCAGGGCCAAGTTGGATGGATCCAATCCTAAGCTTTCTACGAGATGAAACCCTTCCTTCTGATAAAAAGGAAGCCCATAAGATCAAGACCAAATTAGCAAGATTTTTGTTGTCTCCAGAAGGAAAGTTATACACACTACAAGAAAATCGTTCAATAGCAACGGTCAAAAGTGTTGCTAGGGATGCAAAAAAGCGTTGCTAAAGACCAATATAGGCTATACCAACGGTTATAGAACCGTTGGTTAAACCGTCGCGAGATATCCGTTGCTGTAGGGTTATAGCAACGGTTTTGGCAAGCGTTGGTACAGATTTGTTTTTAGCAACGGTTTCTTTAGCAACGCTTTGTAAATCAAGTTGCTAAAAGTTTTTTTTTTCTAAAAATCTAGGGTAAAATATGACATGGCAGCCACGTGGCGCCGACTTAGCCTCCTTGTCGCCGCCACTGTCCTGACATGGCGCTCGCGTGGCCTCCAACTGTTGCCGCGTGGCAACACAACAATTTTTGCTCCTCCCGGGAATCGAACCCAGACCTCCCGCATAGCACGCGAAAGTGCAAACCACTGAGCTAGCCTAACACTTGTGTAATATCAATGGACTACTAATATTTATACTATGCAAACCGGTGGGTAAGCTTATGTCATTTGAGTTTTATCGATTTATTCTTAACCCAAGTTTTTAAATTCAGTTTATTCTATACAAACACCTACTTTTTTTTTTTCCCCGATTAGAACCATCTATTTTTTACATAGTAAAGAGTACATCCTTCATACGAAAAATGAAATTAATCGGGTATCGTTACATACTTGATCAGGCAGAAAAATTTATTTTACTAATGAAATTTTGTCTCAATAAAGAAGTTTTCTAGACTCGATCAAGCCAAATTTTTATGAGAATGATTTAATCAACAAACAAGGAAAACAAAATCAATGGTCTCGATTATAGTCCGGTTTTTAGTAACGGTTATGGAAAACCGTTGCTATAGGCCGGTTTTTAGTAACGGTTATGGAAAACCGTTGCTATAGGTCGGGTTTTAGTAACGGTTATGGAAAACCGTTGCTAGAGGCCGGTTTTTAGTAACGGTTATGTAAAACCGTTGCTATAGTCTTATAATCTAGTAACGGTTTTATGAAAACCGTTGCTATAGTCCTGTTTCTAGTAACGGTTTAAAAACCGTTGCCGCACACCGTCTATACCAACGGTTTTTTGAACCGTTGCTAGCTAAACCGTTGGGAGATCTCGATTTTCTTGTAGTGACAGGAATCCTTTACTGGGCCGTACCTGCTTTGTGTGCATCCCGAGATGGTTCAGAAATTTCTTCACGAGATTCATGAAGGAACATATGGAAGTCATGCTGGGGGAAGATCCATAGCCCACCGAGCAATTACTCAAGGATATTGGTGGCCACATATGCAAGAAGATGCAAAGGTTTACATGAAAATCTGTGAGAAGTGTCAGAAATTTTCACCAATGATTCGGACACCAGCCGAGGATCTAGTGCCCCTAACAAGCCCTTGGCCTTTCGCTCAGTGGGGAATGGACATCGTGGGTCTGCTCCATAAGGCTACTGAAAACTGAAAATTCCTTTTGGTAGCAACAGATTACTTCATGAAGTGGATTGAAGCTGAACCTCTGGCTAAGATTATAGAACCTATGATAGAGAGGTTTGTCTGGAAAAGTATCATCACTCGTTTTAGGGTCCCATATTCATTGATTACAGATAATGGTTCCCAGTTCCAGAAGAAGTTTAAAGCTTTTTGTGCCCAGTATGGCATAAGAAATTATTATTCAACCCCTGCTTACCCTCAGAGTAATGGGCAAACAGAGGCATCCAATAAGACCATTCTTGATGGGATCAAGAAGAGGTTGGATAAAGCAAAGGGCAAGTGGCCTGATGAGTTACCATTGGTGCTCTGGGCGCACCGAACAACGCCTAGGAGGTCTACGGGAGAGACCCCCTATTCTTTAGCTTATGGCACAGAGGCAGTCATTCCGTTAGAAGTTGGTCTTCCCACTAATAGGACTGCACTAGTTGAAAGTGGGGGGAATGACAGGGTCCTCGAAATCGAGCTCGACCTTGCCAAAGAAAGGAGGGAAAGGGCCCTGGTACATCTTGCTTCCTATCAGGAGCAGCTTACGAAAAATTACAACAAACATGTCCACCCACGTGAGTTTGGTGTTGGAGACCTTGTGCTCCGCAAAGTGCTCGGCAACACCAAGGTAGCCAACGAGGGCAAGTTGGGAAGACCCGTATCGAGTTACTGAGATTGTCGGCATTGGGGCTTATCGTTTGGCAGACTTGGACGGGAACCGAGTGCCACGGCCTTGGAATGTTCACAACTTGAGGAAGTTCTTTGTTTGAAAGACTTCGGTTTTATCTTTTATTCTGTTTTAGGATTGTGTGATTGTGTGGGAATTATGAATAAAATTCCCTTGTATTTCATTTTTTAGTTGCATGGGGTACGCATAACGACCCCTTGAGTTTTTGGGATTATGAATAAAACCCTCTGTTTTTTCTACAGCAGTCTTGAGTATCTGTTTTTCATAAGATATGCCTGTCTTTAACTTGTAAATATGAATAAAGGCCTATGCTTTCCCTCATTCATATTGGGGAGCAGGGGCATGGCTGTTTTGGTATGCATGATTGTCTTGGTCAGTACGAATACACGTTTCAATTACTCTGGGTATGAAAAAACTCAATATTGTTCAAGTAAGTGAAACTTACAAAATACGTGATATTTATAAGTACGAAACACTTGTATTAAAATTTACAAATAAGAAACACTTGTATTAAATTTCATAAAGTCCAAAAAAACTTGGGTTTTGTAACGACCCTGATTTTTGGTAAATAAAAATTTCGTTAAAAATTTGAATTTTATTTTAATACTTGGATTTCATTTTTAACACCCAAAAATCGGTCGTTATTGACTTATGAAAATTTTGATAAATATTTAAATTTTATTTTAATTGCTTGGATTGCTTTAAAATTTCCTTTTAAATTCTAATAATCCGTCATAATTAGATTTGAAACTTGTAAAATTGAATCAATTTACTCCGGACAATTTAGTCCTTCTCCCATGACTAGTATACTTGTAAACGTACTCGTATATTTTTCCTAATAAGTAAATAATATCTTTAAATTATATTTCTCGGCTGGAAATCCTACTTAGCAAGCATAGTTAGCTTTTAACCAATTAGTTAGCAAACCCCAGCTACCGTTTGGCTTAGTGACGCATCGATGCCGGAGTGGTTAGTAGGAAAATTTTGGTTTTTGCCTTGACCGTTGGCTTGACCGCTCTACTTTGGCTTGGCTAGGGTGCCTAGGCATTGGGCCTCTGTCGGGCCTGCCTGGCCTTGGCGTCGGCTCGCTGTCACGCCTGCCTTGCCTCGGCATCGGCTACATTGTCGCGCTGCCTTTGCCTCGCCTCGCCTCGGCGTCGGCTCGCTGCCTTGCCTCGGCGTCGGCTCATTGTCGCGCCTGCCTTCGCCTCGGCGTCGGCTCATTGTCGCGCTGCCTCGCCGCCAGCGCGTCGGTCATTGTCGGTCCGCCCTTGAGCGTCGCTGTCATTGTCGCTGCTCGCCAGCGTCGGTCGCTGCTGCCTCGCTGGCGTCGGGTCCTTTGTCGGGTTGCTCTGCCTGGCTGCCATCGGGTTTCGCCTTGGCGTCGGGTCGCGCCTTGCTTTTGCCTTAGCGTTCTTTGGCCGCCTTGCTGCGCTTTGGCTGCCATTGGGTTCTGCTTTGGCATCGGGTCGCGCCATGCTTTTGCCTTGGCATTGCTGGTGCCGCTCGACCATCGCTTAGCTGTCGCGCGCCAGCTTTGTTTGGCCAACGGCCGCTTTTTGGCCACCGCACACCGCTTTGCCATCAGGCTACCTTGGCCATGCTCACGCCTTGCCTTGGCGCTTTGCGCCCCGTTGGGCTTTAATGGTCCGTTATTTGGCAATTTTCTACTAGATAAAAATCTCGTTTGTTTATTCGTAAATATTTTGAATTTTCTTTTAATCGCTTATAATCCGTTATAATTAGATTCATTAAGGTCAAAACCTATTCTTCTTCACGACGGTCAGCAAGACCATTTTCGTTAGACAAGAACATTGGCATATTGTTTTCCCTAATCACTAAGGTTAATCCCCTAATTACTCGACTTGTTTAACTATTCTACTTAGCAAGTTCAGTTGATCCTAACTAGGTCAATTGGAAACCCTAACTAAAACCTTGACCAAAGTCAACCTTGAATCTTTATCCATTGGACGATAAAGGCTAGGGTAATCTTTATCCATGGGTCAATAGATACTAGGGTAATCTTTATCCATTGGACAATAGATACTAGGGTAGTCTTTATCCATTGGTTATTACATGCTAGGAAGACTTTTGACCGTTGGACAATAGTTGTTAGGAGAAGACCAAGTTTGACTAGTAGTTGGAATAGTCTAGTCAAAAGCAAATAGTGTACTTCATGATGACTAGTCTTTACCCATTGGTTATTACATGCTAGAAAGATCTTTTGACCATTGGACAATAGTTGTTAGTAGAAGACCAAGTTTGACTAGTAGTTGGAATAGTCTAGTCAAAAGCAAATAGTATACTCCATGATGACTTTTCTTGGACCATTGGTTAATAACCGCTAGGGAAAACTTTACCCATTGGATAATAGATATTAGGATTTGCCAAATAAGATGACAAGACAAGTCATGTGCTTCCTCATCATTACTTCTTTCGCCATTGGTTAATAACCGCTAGGGAAAACTTTACCCATTGACAATAACCATTAAGGAAATTATTATCCCTTGGATAATAGCATTGTCCAATATTCCCATGGGATTCTTGGTGACAGATATGATAGTGCCTTCTCCTACAAAAAGAATAATCATGAACCATGTGTGCAATTAAGTAGCCTTGTCCTTATCCTCCTTGTTCTTCCACAAATGTACACATATATATACATATAAGTACTTTGACCAAGATAGAGAATCGACTAGGGAGAGAGAAGAAGGGGGCCGAATGTGAGGAGAGAGAGAGTGAGGTGTGTGTATGTATCTTTGGCCACTTGTCCAAGCCACCTAATAGCCTTAAGCCTATTTGTTACATGCCAACCCATTTCTAGTCAAAACCTAGCCAATGATTCTAGTCTTTCTTCCAAGTAGACCCATTCTAGGACAAGACTACACCATGACCACCTCATCATTGTTTGGACCCTTATCATTACCTAGATTTGATTTGAAAGAGAAAGGACTTGATGTGACTAGACTTAGGTTACTTGCCATGATTATGGACTTGATTTGACAAGTCCATGGAATAAATCCATGGGAAAGGAGATAGAGGCCGATTGGGAGAGAGGAAGAGTGAGTGTATGTGAGTTGTATTTTGATATGTGTGTTGTACCTTGACACTATTTGACCTAGATACACTTGGTTGGAGTACTATAGCATGACAAGACTAGTCATGTGTACTTTACCATACAAAGAGAATAATCATAAGCCATGTGTACATTTAAGTAGTTTGTCCTTACCTCCGTGTTCTTTCCATAGATATACACATATATATATATATACATACATGATAATACTTTGACCA